GAAATTAGGAAAACAACTCCATTTGTAATAGCCCCACAAAAAATGAAATACCTAGGAATTAACTTAACCAAAGAAGAGAAGGACCTCTATGATGAAAACTTTAAAATCTTGAAAAAGGAAATTAAAACAGAACTTAGAAAATGGCAAAACCTCCCCTGCTCCTGGATTGGAAAGATTAACATCGTGAAAATGGCAATACTTCCCAAGGCTATCTACAAATTCAATGTGATACCTATCAAAATTCCAACCTCATTTTTCAAGGAAATAGAAGAGGCAATCCAAAAAGTCACATGGAACAATAAAAGACCCCGAATAGCAAAAACGCTCCTGAACGGAAAGAACACTGCTGGAGGAATATCAATACCAAATTTCAAACTCTACCATAAAGCCATATTAATCAAAACAGCCTGGTACTGGCATAAGAACAGACCTCAGGACCAATGGAATAGAATTGAAAACCCAGAAATGAACCTACAGACCTATAGCCATCTAATCTTTGATAAGAGAGCTAAAACAATAGAATGGAAGAAAGACAGCCTCTTCAGTAAATAGTGCTGGTAAAATTGGTTAACTACTTGTAGAAAACTAAAGCTCGATCCTTATATATCACCTGCACTAGAATCAAATCCAAATGCATCAAAGACCTCGGAGTCAAAGCAGACACTCTGAAAACATTACAGGAAGGAATAGGAGAAACCCTAGGTCTCCTTTGCTCTGGCCGAAATATTCTGAATAGAGACCCGGAAACACAACAAATCAAAGAAAGGTTCGACAAATGGGATTGCATGAAGTTGCAGAACTTCTGCATGGCAAACGACATAGCTAGTAAGATCAATATAAAGCCCACGGATTGGGAGAAGATCTTCACTGGCCTCAACAACAAATCCTCAAAGAAACAACTACCCAATAAATAAGTGGGCGAAAGACTTAAAGGGAAACTTCTCTGAAGAAGAAAGAAGGATGGCCAATAGACACATGAAGAAATGCTTAACCTCCCTAGCCATAAAATAAATGCAAATCAAAACAACATTGAGATACCACCTCACTCCAGTTAGAATGGCAAAAATCAAGAACTCTAACAACAACAGATGCTGGAGAGGATGTGGACAGAAGGGAACCTTACTTCATTGTTGGTGGGAATGTAAACGTGTTCAACCACTTTGGAAAGCAGTATGAAGGTTCCTCAAAAGACTTCACATAGAGCTCCCCTATGACCCAGCAATCCCACTTTTGGGCATTTACCCCAATATTTACAAACAAGACCACACTAAAGCTACCAGCACAACTATGTTTATTGCAGCATTATTTACCATAGCTAAGATATGGACCAACCCAGATGCCCCTCA